CCCCACCCCGCTCCCTCATGCCAGACTTGATGGTCCTGCGTCTCCCGGGCGATCCAGCCTGTGGGCAGCATCCAAGCAGCTGGTCCTGGGATACCCAGGCTCCCCTGGAGGTTGGGCACAGTGGCCATTGTGGGGAAAGGTTGGGCCAGTGACAGGTGGCAGTATGGCAGCCATGGCTGGATGGCACAGGAAGCATGAGGTGACCTAGAAAAAAGTGCCTCAGTATGGCAGGGGGATGTCTACGGAAAGGCCCTCGTCACGGCTTGTCTGAACCTTCGCACGACCTAGACATGAGCTCTGACGACCTGCAGGGTCCCTCGTCAGAGGTCACCTGCCACCTCTTGGCTAACCTAAGCTACAATGGCTGAAACGGGGGTAGCCTGGTCTATGAACATTGTCCAAGTGCAAAGTGAAGGGGAAGATTCTAGACCAGTGGTTCTAGAACACCAGTGTATGTTGCGGGCCACCCTGGAGATCCCCAACACCCTGCCAGGGGGTTCACAAAGCCTCGCTATTTTCATAATAATACCAGGACATTGTCCTGTCCCTCTCACTCTTTCCCACAGGTACACCACCGATTTCCAGCAGCTACCGGACTGTGACATCGTGACATCGCAGCCGACCAAATACAAAGGCAGATGGGAGAATCCTGTGTCTTCTGCAAAATCAGACATGCAAGAGATTCACAAAAGTGCACACCCCTCCTGCCCACATGGACTTTGTTTGGGGGGGGGAGTTATTTCTAATAGGAAAATAGGTTGCTCATGTTACCATGTAACGGGTTTGTTCCCTTTAAATGAGTTAACAGTTATTTTTTTAATGTTGTTTTAATTTCTAGTCTGATGAATGACAATAGACACAGACCACCTGAACTAAGGCTCTTTGGTGTTGTCAATAATTTTAAAGAAGTCCCAAGGCCAGAACACGGGAGAGCCGCTGAGCCACCTGCCCTGGCCAGTCGCTTTCAGCAATGATGGAAATCGTTCTGGTTGGTGTGGCCCAAAATGGTAGCCACTCGCCACGTGTCCCCAGTAAGCCCTTAACACGAGGCTAGTGCACCTGAGGGGAATGGATTTTCATTTTGATTTCATTTTAATTGGCATAAGTTTAGATACCCACCTGCAACTAGAGGCTACTGTTTTGGAGAGCACCTCTAAGCCACGTCTGGTGTTCCTGTGCCACCAGAATTCTCTGGTTTTAGTTCCCTATGTTGAGTTGATCAGAGGGATCTGTGCATGGGGGGGTGTCCTGGTTTCTCCCCCTTCCCCTCCCAGGAGACCTCTCCTCAAGCTGGGAAGGGGTCTGCCATGCTCACCAATTCCAGCTTTATGCCACACTGGTAGCCTGAAATTGACCATGGTGGAATTCTTTACATCATGGAAATTGGAAATGTCAACACATCAGAGATTTTTAAAAACTGCTATTTGATTTTATTTTTCTCTCTGCACATGTTATTTAAAAATTTTTTAAGCTCAGCTCTTTTTCTTGGAGAAAAGTCTTAGGGGCAGTGAGTTTCCTAGGAAGCGGCAGAGGTAGGCCAAGGGCAGGATGCTTGGGCATCAGATAGTCCTGGTTTTAAAGCTTTGCTCAGCTGGGTGCCCTTGGGAAAGTCACCAGACCTCTCTGTGCTTTGGCTTTCTGCTTTGTAAGATCCTCTAATGATCCTCCCCACACAGGGAGACTGAGCCAATCAATGCAGGGTGCATCTAGGAAACCACTAGCAAAGACAGAGACCGCCACCACCCCCCAGTAGGAGCTCATACAGGGAACCCCACCTCCACAACTTCCTGCTTCTTGTCTGCATTGGAAGTGACTGTTGGGATTGTCATTGGCTCTTTCTGGCCCTCATCGATGCTGTTCCCAGAGCCAGCACGGTCTACATCAGGCTATGCAGTCTAGGGAGAGGCCCACAGGTAGCTTCCCAGTCTGTGATAAAGACCCCAGGGGAGATGCAACCCTGAGATCCCCAAGAGTTCTCAGTGCTGGCCCCGCCCTACTGTGCGTGGCCCCGCCCACAACCAAGGCGACTTTCAAATTCAAATCAAGGCCCGATGCAGTTCTCAGCTCCACATCCTCCTCCCAACTGCCTAGAACTTTCCTGGGTTTCTACCCAGCGGAGCCCCAGGGGATGGACAGAAGCTCAGCCTTGCACACGGCCATACCTTCAACTTCCAATCAAGAGGAAAGGCAGCTCTGAGATTTTTTTTTGGGGGGGGAGGGAAGCGGGGTGGGTACCAGGGACTGAACTCAAGGACACTCGACCACTGAGCCACAGCTGAGCCCTATTTTGTATTTTGTGTAGAGACAGGGTCTCACTGAGTTGCTTAGCACCTCACTTTTCCTGAGGCTGGCTCTGGACTCGCGATCCTCCTACCTCAGCCTCCCCAGCCACTGGGATTACAGGCGTGCGCCCTGGCAACCAGCCAGCTCTGTGATATTGATGCAAATTCTTCTGGGGTAACCACAGGAACACAGCCTAGGATGCTTCTGAGACAGCCTTATCCACCAGAGGGACTGGCCAGATGGAACTTCTCTGAACTGTTTGTGATGCGCTGGGGGAGATCCAGGGTCTGGATCCTGGGAAACTCAACTTCTGAATGATGCTGGGAAGCGAAAGGGTTTATGGGAAGCATGTCCTGAATTGGAGCTAGGACAGGAAAGGTGACCAAGACCCCTCAGAAGGCCGCCTTCCAGAGTCCTCACCAGCCTGACCACAGTTGGAAATTCTACCATTAGGGATTCATTTCTTTGGCTGACGCCCCTGAGAGTGTCATCTTTGTTATCACGACTTGCCTCTCCAGTGGACAGCCAGCAGAATGAAGGAGCGTGCAGGGACCCGTGTCGCACTTCCCTCATCCTGCTGTGTCTTCAGGCAGCCCTGTAAGGTGCTGACGTACAGCTGTAAGGTACTCATCTTACAGCTGGGGACACTGAAGCTCTCACATGGGGATGCCAGATATGGCCCCAAGCCTAGGGAGACACAGCTCTTCCCTCCTGGAGCATACAAGTACCCAGATGACAGACAGGTCCCTGAGCACTGGTGTAGGCGAGACAGCGAGGCACAGGAGGCCGAGCCTGGAGTCAGACCAAGGACATGCGCCTCAGTGCTGATGCTTGGGGTGGGTTTTGAAGGATGTGTAGGAGTTGGGTGGATAAGGAGGTGAACAAAGTTCCCTGCAGAGGGACTGGCACCTCAAGAGGGGCACACAGGGGTGGCTGTTTTGGGAAAATGTACCATCAAGTGCCTAAGAGGAGGAGCACAGAGAGATGCAGGTCCCAGCCTCAGGGGCCACTAGAGAAGCCCAAGCCAACATTCCCAGCGCCTGTCACTATTTCTGGGAACCTGCCTGTCCCCAGCAGCATCCTGATGTCGGGATTTTTGGTTGGCCTGGCACAGTGCCACACTTCCTTCCCACGCAGCACCTCAGGACCCCCAGGACTCCCTTTCCCAGCCTCAGGCCCAGGCAGAAGTCGGTTCTGTGTCTCTGACCCCAGGCGGGAGACAACCTCTCCCCGGCTGCCCTCGCCTCCAAATCTTTCCCTTCCCTCTGACCTCCAGTCCTGGCCCCAGCTGGTTGGAGACACCTAGGGAGTCACAGGGACAGGCTTACCCAAGACACCTGCCAGGGGACGGAGGGCAGATATGCAGGTATGCACACATGGACAGGTAAACAGAACCAGCCCAAGGCATCCCCCGCTCAGAAGCCAGCTGTCTGAGGAATGTGTCAAGATGATTTAACACTGGCTTGGACCACCGGGATTCCAGGTCCCCGGGGGCTCAGAAATGCCCTGGAATGTTCTAGAAGGAAGCATAAGGCACCCTCGGTCGGTCCAGCTTTGTCCACCCCAGTCGGGTTGGAAGTCGTGGAATAAGAACCTTCAAACTTGAGACAGATGTGTTATTACCCAGAGGTTCTGAGATGCCGATTCAGATCCCAGAGCTGGGCGGCCACTTCTGTCCTATCCCCAGCAAAAGTCCAGAGAGAGGCTGGCCCCGTCCCGCAGGATGTGGGGTCAGGCCTTTGGGGGCTGCCGTGTTGGCTGGGTGAACCCTCCAGAGGGTGAGGACCTGGATGCTCTGCACAGGGCCACATCCAGGTGAGGCCGAGGAGCACAGCTGAGTGGCCTCTAGGAGCCATGACCTGGCACCTGGAGAGACTCCCAATGTTGGCACCACCACAGGCAGAGGAGCAGGTTCCCAGGGACCTGCTTGTCCCCTCTGATGAATGAATGAGTCATCATTTCTCTGGACTCTTCGGGATGAGAAGGAATGGCCAAGAAGCAGTGCCCACGCCTCTCCTGCTCCCTCCTCCTCGGTACTGAGGACCAACTCTGGTTCTTGCAGGCATCGGGGACTGCCCAGCTGGGGTGCCTCAGTCTCCCGCTAGTGCCCGAAGCTGCCCACTCCAAGAGCTTCTCCAGAAGGGGAAAGAGTCGAAGGCATTAGTGCCATTAGCCCCGCGGTGACTTCCATCTGCTCTGCCCGTGATCCCTTCAGAGGACGCCAGACTGGACGGGCCGGGAGGTTCCATCCGCAGTGCCAAACCGATGGGTAGTGGGCACCCAGGGCACTGAGCGGAAAAGAATTCTGACCCCAGGCACATGCTGTGATTGACAGGCGCTCTCTTCCACGGTCAAGGGTATGATGCCCCACCTCTCATCCGAACAGGGGACAATTTCCCAGCTGGGACTTTGGCAGCACAGAGAGAGGCCCTGGCAAGTGGGTTCTGTGCCACCCACTAGACTCCTCAGGACCTTCAAAGGCACGGCTCGGCCCATGGTTCCCCAGTCTGTGCTTTCTGAAGACGTTAATGCTGGTTGTTAGGAAACGCTCGTCTACGGTAGAAACGCACGGCAGGGTTAGTTTCTCCTTCGTGGAAATGACTAAAAGCTCTCCTTCTTACCAGTCTTCAGGGATGGCCTGGCTGTCACCAGAAAGAAACTCACACCCTGCAAAAACTCAGTCCAGGGAAGGGCAGACTGGCCTCAGCACTGATTCCGGTGACAGTTCACAGATCACGTCCAGTGATGCTCCGATCCCAAAGCCCAAGGGACGGACGGGGGCTGGGCCATCTCATTTGGACACCTTGGTTTGCAGGGTGCTGGGCAGGTAGAGGTACCTCCAGATGGCGTAGTAGTGGGTGCCAGCACCGAATGCCACAAAGAGGTGCCAGATGGCGTGGGCAAAGGGGATCCTGCCGTCGCTCTTGAAGAACACCATGCCCAAGCAGTAGAAGACCCCTCCGGTCATCAGCTCCCAGATACCCTCAGTGTTGGGCTGTTAGCAAGGACAGGGTGGGGCACAGGTCAGAGGAGCAGCCAGCAGCCCCTACCACCCAAACCAAAAGACAAGTAGGTGTCGAGCCAGCCCAGAGTCCCCATGGGAGTCTTGATATTGCTGAGTGGACAATCCAGCTGCAGAGGGATCCTTTGGGGATCACTCCCCAGGTCCCCGAGGGAACCTGCCCACCAGGTACTCACCAGTCAAGAACCTTCAAACTTGAGACAGATGCGTTACCCAGAGGTTCTGAAATGCCAACTCAGATCCCAGAGCCGGGCGGCCACTTCTATTAATTACACAGTCATAGTAATTCCCAGCATTTGTGTGTATTTGAATTGTGTAATGTCACCTTCACGAGAGTCTTATGAGGTGGGTTTTATGCTATGGACAGCCACGGGGAAATGCCCGTGACATGGTGCAAGGAGAAATGCAGGTGTAGAATAGTCCATGGAGTGATTTCAATCTTGTATAATAAAAATAGACACCAGACGTAGTGGTGCAGACCTGTAATCACAGCAGCTCGGGAGGCTGAGGCAGGAGGATTTCAAGTTCAAGGCCAGCCTCACCAACTTAGGGAGGCTCTAAGCAACTTAGGGAGATCCTGTCTCAAAATAAAAAAAGGGGGGGGCTGGGGATGTGACTCAGTGGTTAAGCACCCCTGGGTTCAATCCCTGGTACCAAAAAAGAAAAAAAAAATGATTAATAGACAAGGCATTATGTGTCTGCATATCCCCAGATACTTGCATCTAAATTTTTAAAATGGATGGCTGAGGATGTAGCTCAGCGGTAAAGCGCTTGCCTAGCATGCACAAGGCCCTGGGTTCTAACCCCAGCACCACAATAAAAAGTAAATCTTACAAATGGAAAAGATATACAACAAACTGTTCCTGATGGTTACAGCTGGGGGTGTTGTGCTCTGGAGAGGGTGGGAGGTGCCATTTTATGCAGGACTTCTCTTTTGAGTGACTACATGATTACACATGCATCTACTATGTATGTATCTAAAGATATGATACATAATTTAATGAATATGTTATAATTTAATAGATGAATATATATATATATTTAAACAAAAATAAACTCAAGTGGGGGAAAAAGGTAATCTGGAAAAATAAATACAAATATAAAGGGAAACTGTTGAACAGGTAGAACAATATGGAAAGATTTCACTGCCGAGTATGAAAATGCAGTTAGAGCTGCCCACGAATCCGTTCGGTAAAAAGAAGCCAAGAATGGAATCTAAGAAACAGTTCTATCTATCTAGGTGGACATTCGAATTTCCCATATGATGTAAGGAGAATCTGTAAATGACAGATAAATGAAACAATGGCTGACCATTTGGGGAGGGATCACCATATACAAAAGAAACCACAGTGAATAGAAAAGTAAAATGTGGCCAGGTGCAATGGCGCATGCCTGTGATCCCAGAGACTTGGGAGGCTGAGACTGGAGGATTGCAAGTTGGAGGCCAGCCTCAGCAACTTAGCCAGACCCTGACTCAAAATTTTAAAAAGTTAAAGGGCTGGGGATGTAGCTTAGTAGTAGAGCACCCCTGGGTTCCGTCCCCAGTGCCAAGATAAATAAGTAAATAAAATAACAACAAAAGGGAAACGTAAAAAAACAAACTATAAAGAAATAGAAGAGGGCTAGGGCTATAGCTCAGCGGTAGAGCGCTTGCCTAGCATGTGTGAGGCACTGGGTTTGATCCTCAGCACCATATACAAATAAAATAAAGGTATTCTATCCATCTACAACCACACACACATACCCACACACACACACAAAAAAAAAAAAACTTTAAAAAAATTTAGAGACAGGGTCTCACTGAGTTGCTTAATGCCTCACTTTTGTTGAGGCTGCTTTGAACTCGTAATCCTCCTGCCTTGGCCTCCCGAGCTGTTCAGATTACAGGCGTGCAACACTGCGCCCAGCCCATTTTTTTTTTTTTTTAATTTTTGATTTGCAGAGCTGGGGATGGACCCCAGGGCCTTGCACATGCTAGGCAAGAGCTCTCCCACTGAGCTACACCCCAGCCCATTTTTTTAAAAAATTTTGAGACAGGGTCTCACTACCTTGCTGAGGCCGTCCCTGAAATTGAGATCCTCCTGCCTCAGCCTCCAGTGCAGCTGGGATTACAGGTGTGCACCACCATGCCCGGCTCATGGGTCTCTCACTTAATCCTTAAATACAAAGTAGACCTGAAGCACAGGAGTTGGCAGACCCACTCGGGGTTGGGTGGACAGGGAGTGGTGGGGAGCCCAGGGTGGGGCCCCAGGATTAACTCCCATGTTCTCCTGCCCCCTCCAGGATGACTGGACACCCCGTGCTGGACATGTGGGACTCACCATGGAAAGGATGACCAGGGCCGGGAAGAAGCCCATCACGACGTAGCAGAGCAGTTCCACAAGCTTGTACCTGGCAGGAAGAGAAGCCGTGCTGGCCTCAGGACGAGACTGCCCACGAGGAGACCGCTTCCTGCTCCCGCTGCTGGGGAGAAGGGGTGCCCTGACCAGGAAAGGACGAAGAAGGGACCCTCTCTGCAGCACTCCTTGGCCCAGCTTTGACCAACTGCATCTCCAGGCAGTCGTGTGGCTTTGGGAAAATCTCTTTCCCTCTTGAGACTCAATTTCCACACTTACAAAATGACATGCTGGAGCTGGACCAGGGACGGCCAATATTAGAGCAAGCACCTGGGCTCTCCCAAGGCTCAGTCCACAGCAGACATTACTATTCGATCCCAGCATCTTTTCCCACAGGGCACAAACAGCCAGTCTCCATCGAGTGAGTTGCTCCATCAACGAAATCTTTGTGCCATCCTGGACTAAATGGCCTCTATAGAGTTCCCATCTGCTGACTCAGTCCAGGGAAGGCAGGTTCCAGTGACCCCGTTCAATGGTCCTAGCAACCTGTGATGTCTTTTTAAAAAATCATTCAAATTGAATCTGTGGGCTGGGCGGCTAGGTCCAGTCTATGGGCCTGGACATTGGGGGTGCCAGGCAGAACTCTGCTCTCATTTTCTGGAGTCATCCTGGGGTCTCATCTGCCCAGGACACTGAGGAAGCTTCCAGAAGCACCCCAACCTCCATCTCCCAGCCCGGGCTTACCGCTCGTGGAAGAAGAAGACATAGATGGTGCCAACAGAGGCCATAATCCAGACCAGCCACCGCATGTGGGAGGCCCAGGGGCCCAGCTCCCGAAGGTTCAGCCTGGGGGAGAGAAGCCGAGGGCACAGGCTGAGGGAGGCCCATTGGGACCCAGCCCTCCACAGCCGGCCTGCTGCAGGAAGCTGACCCCAGAGAAGCCCTGTCCCCTGCAGCTGCCCAGGTGGGACAAGGACTCTCCGTGGGCACGGTAATCCCAGCAGCTTGGGAGGCTGAGACAAGAGGATCGCAAGTTCAAAGCCAGCCTCAGCAATTTAGCAAGACCCTGTCTCTAAATAAAATATAAAATAAGGCTGGGGATGTGGCTCAGTGGTTAAGCACCCCTGAGTTCAATCCCTGCTACCATAAAACAAAAAAAGGCACTAACTATATTGAAGGGGCAAACACTCACAGGCTGAGGATCCCTCATCTAAAATGCTTGGGACCGGAAGGGCTTCAGATCTTGGAATATTTGCATATGCATAACATGGGATGGAACCCAGGGCTAAACATAGAATTCATTTATATCTCCTAGACACTCATGCACATGGCCTGAAGGTGAGGTTGCACGATATTTTTAGTGTTCCTGTGTTTGGGCTCATGTGTGGTCACGGGTGGAATTTTCCATTCATGATGTCACAGCAGTACTCACAAAGTTTGGATTTCAGATTTCCAGTTTTCAGATAAGGGGATGCTCAACCTGAATCAGAGGGAAGTTGGCAAAACGGGTCATGTCCAAGAGAGAAACGGAGGAGCACCTCAAAAGAGTGGGACATCAGGGGGTGAAGCCTGTTCAGGGGGAAATTTGGTAGAATCCATAGAACTTTGCAGTTTGCATCCCCAGGATTCCAGTTCCAGCCGAAAGCCAAGGAAAGAGTCGTGCGCTGGTTACCAACCTACAATCTGTGCTGGTTACCAACCTACTACGGGGCTGATCCACCTCTGCTCCTTTTGCCTGCACTGGGATAATGCAGCTGGGCCTTGGGAATCCTTTGTAGAGGGTGCAATATTACGTTTTGGCAGCAGAGGGCGGTGGGGAGCCGCTCCTCTGCAGGAGGCTCTTCCTCCTCGCTCCCATAATCCTCTGGCTTTTTTCCTGCCTTGCCCAGCCCTGTCTTTCTCCAGTGCCAGGTGTGCGAGAGGCTCAGCTTTTTCTAGCACCTGGCTTCAGTATGATTTAAGTAACCACGGAACAGCCAGGGGCCCCAGACAGAGCAGGCCTGGGCTGTGCTCCAGAGTCACTCCCTGCATGGTGTTTGTTCTCAGCCCTGCAAACATGCTTGGGGTTCCCACAGCACTTCCCATGCAGCAAGCTGACCATCTAGCTGCCCCAAGGGTCCCTGCAGAGGGACCACTCCTCTGCCGTTCCAGCAGCACACAGTGACCCCCAGCATGGAGCAAGTGCTGACTCAGCACCTCCCAGTGGATGGCCTCCTCTGGCATCTTGAGGGCCAGGTGCCAGCAAGTCACACCAGTGGGATCTTCACCAACTTCTTGCCACCCCACGCACTAAAACTGTGCCCTCTCAGGAAACGTGAGATCTCAGCCCTGGGCAGAGGGCTCTTCCTTGGGCATCAGAGCTCAGCACAGGTTTCAGAGGTAGTTGTGATCTCTTATAACTTTACTATCACTGTTCTTTAGAATTGTCTCTTTTTTTTGGGGGGGGGGTACCAGAGGTTGAACACAGGGGCTCTCGACCACTGAGCACATCCCCAACCCTATTTTGCATTTTATTTAGAGACAGGGTCTCACCAAGTTGCTTCCTACCTTGCTTTGGCTGAGGCTGGCTTTGAGATCCTCCTGCCTTAGCCTCCAGAGCCGCTGGGATGACAGGCAGGCGCCACTGTCGTGGCACCCCGTCCTCCACAGAAAATCTTAATTAAGCTTCTCCAGAAACCCTCAACATAATTGTCCTTAGACTCACGGCAAAGTTCCTGCAAAAGAATTTTCAGGCAGGGGGTATACTTGCAGCCTCAAGAGTTGGAGAAGAAAAAGTAACTAAGGCCCAGCCGTCACAGAGGCGTTTGCATTTCAAAGGACAACAGTCAGGCCCTGTGGAGGAAGCTGTGGGAGAGAAAGGGAGGGAAACTCTCCCTTGCTTGGCCGCTGGTTTTCCCAGAGAGTGTCCTTGATTTTGTATCCTGGCCTGAGTGGATTTGCCCAGAACAGTGAAAAAAAGCTGCTTTTGTGTGGACATCTGCAGATTGTGAGCTTCTGAGCCCCTCCCCCTACACACTGGGTCTAAAGTTCTGAACCTTTCTGAACTTGGGGTTCAGAGGGATGGATTGATTGGAGCAAAAGCTTTTCCCCCGTGGACCTGGCTGCAGCCAATAAACCTGCTTCCTGCTAATTCCTGGGTGTCCAGCCCTGTAGTCCTACAAAACCACCACACCAGGCTTAGAGCAGTCTTTTATTCTTATTAGCCAATCCCCTGCCACTTCAGTCCTCCATTAATAATTCTTAATATTGGGGCTGGGGTTGTGGCTCAGTGGTAGAGCACTCGCCTAGCACATATGAGGCACTGGGTTCCATCCTCAACACCACACGAAAATAAATAAATAAAATAAAGGTATCATGTCCATCTACAACTAAAAAAAATATTTTAAAAGTATCACATTTAGGGTTTTTTGTTTTTTTTGTTTTTTTTGTAGGAGCGTTTAACCACTGAGCCACATCACCAGCCCTTTTTGTTTTTATATTTTATTTAGAGATAAGGTCCTGCTGAGTTGCTTAGGGCCTCACTAAGTTGCTGAGGCTGGCCTTGAACTTGAGATCCTTCTGCCTCAGCCTCCCTGTGGCTCAGGAGGCTGCGGCTAGAGGATTGAGAGTTTAAAGCCAGCCTCAAAAACTTAGAGAGGCTCTAAGCAACTCATTGAGACCCTGTCTCTAAATAAAATATAAAAAGAGGGATGGGGATGTGGCTCAATGGTTGAGTGGCCCTGGGTTCATTTCCCAGTACCAAAAAAAAAAAAATTCTCTTAATTGGTTAAATGTTGTTGCAAAGTAGTTTTTCCAAAAACTCCTGAGTACTGCACTCCCTGACTTCTCTCATACATCAGAATGGTCACCTATTGCTCTCATGGCTGTGTGAGAGCCTCCCTAGATGATGTTCCCTGAAAGTCTCCCTTTGGGAAACTGCAGAAATCTCCATTGTGTTTCAGGATCAAATAGTGCCGTGGCCACATTCAGAGGCTGGCCTGATTTTTTTTTTTTTACCCTTTGTCATTGATTTATGATTATTTTCAGTCTCTGCCTGAAGAATTTACCCGTCTTTCATTTATTTTACTGCCTCTCTGATTGCTTGACCTTTCCACCTTTAAAAATTTTGTGTATTCTCCCTGATCATCTCATGCCTTTTCACTGTGTCAGCGTGTGATTTTTTTTTTTTTTTTTTTTTTTTTTTGGTTGTTTTTTTTCTGGTGGTTTTTTTTTTTCCTGAATTGAATTCATTAATTTATTCGATGTCCTATCCTATCGTGATGTGGATTTGTTCTTCAATTTGTTTCTTTGGGCTTGAAGTCACTATTTTGGTTTCCATTGGTTGTTCTGTTATCTCATATCGGGGCTCTTGTTTAACTGCGCTCATTTTCTTATTCAGGGCTTGAAGCGGCTCGGCTCAGCCGGGCAGCAGTCAGAAGGGAGCTGGAACAGAAGTAGAGGAGTGGGGACCGCCAGCCTGCGTCTCCCTTCCACCACCTCTAACCTCCAAGACCTAGGAGCATGAAGCAGGGACTAGCAGCAAAAGCTGGGAGACCAGCACTGAGCTGCAATATGTGCTTCTCTCAAGACCAAAGACACCTGAGAAAGAGATCCTAGGCCATCAATTAAGGACGACGAGCATGAGCAGTAGCCCCGGTGCCACATACCAGAGGGCGCTGCTTCCCTTCAACTTTCCAGGGATGGCAGATCCGAGCCGCAATACCCACAACGCACACCAGAGGGCGCTGCTTCCCTTCCACCTTCCAGGAACAATGTCCTTGAGCAGCAGCCCCAGTACCACGCACCAGAGGGCGCTGCTTCCCCGGAATCAACCCACTGCTGAAATCCTCTCACACACTTTTCTAAGGAGCCTTGTCCAGTGTCCAGGACAGAGCAGGATGTCACCTGCAAGGGTGGGGTTACTGGCGGTGTTGCTCTAAACGGCTGCTAGAGAGTGAAGTGAAGCATCCAGCTGCTGCTATGCTCTGCCCCACGACGTTCCCTTTCTGAAATCTCAGCCTTGGGTTCTGTACCTGTCCAACAGGTGACCGTGGTGACAGTCTTTGCCCTCCAAAATATTTATAACTGTCTTTTTTTGGGTTTAGTTTGGTGTGGTTTTTGTTAAAGCCCCAGGAAAGCTTGTGTCACATGTGATTTTTCTACACTTTCCTGCCTCCCTAATCCTGGGACTGGCTGGGGTGATGGACGGTGTGTTCTTATCTCATTTTTCCTGGCTGTGGACAGGGGCGACGGGGTGGATCATCACTGTCTCCACCTCACAGGTCAGGAAAACTGAGGCTCAGGCTCAGTCAGTTGCTCAAGAAGCAGCAAAGCTGGGACCAGAACTCCCCATACAGCCTGTTCTCTTCCGATTACACCAGAACCTTTCAACATTCTTTTGGCCACTGGGCACCCATTCTTTCAATAAACTGTGCAGAAATCTTATAGATAAACCCAATGTGTGAAAAAAGGAAAAACAAAAGCACAAATGTTTTTTCCTGAGAAGATGGGAATGGGAAAACCCGGAGTCATTCATGTCCAGCTCCCCTCCCTGGTCCTCTGGGGACCCTCCAGGCTCTGCAGAGACTAGCTTAAAAGCCAGACGAATGCAAAGAAAAACACCCACCTGGTGATTCCAGGCCACCTCACCCCCTCATTACCCTGTCACCATGCACCCTGTAGCCACTTTCTCTGTCTCTCTTGCCCCCATGTCAACCCTCCCCGCAGAGTCCTGCCGATTTTCCCCCGGGGTGCGCTCACAGGGCGCATCTCCCCTCCTCACACCCAGTTTACTCAGTGGAGTGAGCATTGGGCCAGTGGCTCTGTGCCCTGTTGCTGCACAAGGACAGGCTGCCAGTGCTTTGGTTCACAGCGATCCCTTCCCACAGGGTCCCAAGGGAGCGGTGCACAATCAGGGCAGAGAATAGAGGCCCAGGCACTCCATCAGCCAGGGGAGAAACTGCATTGGAGGGAGTGAGTGCAGCTAAGCACACACTCAGCTTCGCTTTTCTTGGCAACAACCAAAAGGAGCCAGGGAGATTGTCAAGACAGAAGGTGGCACCCAGAGACGGCATGGGGCCAGGAGAAGCCGCCTGCTGGAATGAGCAACTCCAGGGCCTCTGACTGCTCTTGCCTTGTGCTCCCGGCAGCCCCTGCGGCCTCCACCTACCTGCTAAGACGGCGGCCCTCAACCTCGGCCTAAGTCTAGACTTCTCTGCAGGCCTGCCCACCTGTGTCTGGCAACCAGAAGCACTCGGCTTTCAGGCCCCTTCTGTCGCTTAGCCAGCTGAGCATGGGGATCATATCCACCATGTCCCCAGCCAGATGGCACCAGGGCTGCTCTGCTCCCAATAGACACTGACCTCTAACCCCATCCCCACCTTCAATTACAGCCCACTCAGAGGTTCCTGCTAAACCTCTTCTTAGTCCCTCCTCTTGATCTCCCTGGCCACCGTGATGGCGGGCTACCGCCGTTTCCCCCCAGAGACCTCTGCACCTGCCCCCTGGGCCCTTTCCTGGTGCCTGGGCAGCCCATCATCGCAAAAGACAAAAGCACACCAGAGTCCTGTTCAGACCCTCCCGTCCACTGCTCAGTTGCGACCCACCAGGACCACGTACTCCTGACCTATCTGCAGGGACAGGAATGTCTATGGGTCCATCACCCATGACCCTGAAACCTGGGAACCATGCAGACCCCTATCAACAGGAAAAGGACTATTCACCCTGAGCGAATGGCAGCCCGGCCGCCATCTGCCTGGGGAAATGGTGGGATACCAGCCCCGCGCCCAGCAAGGAGAGGAAACGTGTGACTCCTGCACATGAGACTGAATGAGTCCCCGCCTGACTGACAGGATGCCCTGGAGAGGAACAAGGTGCTCAGAATGGAGATTCCTGCCGGTGGGTCCCAGCAGGAGGTCACACTACCCTGGCACTGCAGGAGTCAGAACTGCAGCTGGCTTTGGGGCTCAGGGCCAGGGGCAAAGGTCTGAGCATGGTTTCAGGGGCCGGTCACCTTCTGGGTCTTTCTCTGAGTGCTGGTTACAGTTGGTAGCGATTCAGCAAGATGTGTGTGTGTGGGGGGGGGGGGGGTGTGCACATCCTCTTGGGCGTTACACCTCAACGCAGTGTTTTTAAAAAGCAATGGCCTGTTGGGTGTCGTGGTGCACACCTGTAATCCCAGTGGCTCTGGAGGCTGAGGCAGGAGGATCGAAAGTTCAAGGCCAGCCTCAGCAAGTTAATGAGACACTGTCTCAAAAAGGGCTGTGGATGTGGCTCAGTAGTAAAGTACCCCTGGGTTCAATCCCTGGTACTAAATAAAGAAAGAAATAAAAATCAAAAGAAGTAGCTCCATGTGCACAGATAAAACCCATTTATTAGCTGACATAATGAAAGAGAATATTCCACTGGGAGAACCAAGAAGAAATAACCCAGGCAAACGTGCGAGGCCTCCCATTCCTTAGAGGGAAGCCCTCTTCCTGGGAAGCTCTCCTGCGGTTCCCCTGCCAGGTCAGGTCCCGCTGAGCACTCATGGCTGCTGTGTGTCACTGACCCCTCACAAGCCTCCCTCCACCCACCAGAGCCCCAGCAGCTTGACCCTGGCACCTGGCCACGGGACACTCATCCCACAATGCTGTGCAAAATCATCTTCCCCCTCAGTGGCCCATGGGGTCCTTGGGCTGCAGGTGCTTGGCTTGAAGCTCAGAGTTTGCTCCATGCAGAACTGTCTGGATTTGTTCCTCGATCAAGTTCAAAGCCCCTGAGACATTCACTGAAGGAATTTAAACTGGACAATCATTTCTTGTTTTTCTTTTTGTACCGGGGATTGAACTCAGGGGCGCTTTACCACTGAGCCACATGCCCGGTCCTTTATTTTTTTATTTTGAGATACAGTCTCAATTGCTGAGACTGGCCTTGAACTCGAGATCCTCCTGCCTCAGCCTCCGAAGCTGCTGGGATGACAGGTGTGCGCACCATGTCCAGCTTAAACTGGACAATCTTGGTGGAGGGTGATTTGGCCAACTTGTACCCGAGTTATTAGTACCTACCCTCCAGGCCCAGGAAGAACAATTCTAGAAGCATTCCCCTTAGAGATGAGACTTAACCACATGAAGTCCCTGCTTCTGTAAGCCAAAGGTTGGCTACCAGCAATTTCATGTGATTGTAGACAACACATCCATACACCTTTGCTAAGTGATACATGAAGATGTGCACTGATAGGCACTTTCACCATCAAGAAATAGACACTATTTAAGGGGTAGCAAGGGAATATTATGCATCTGTTAAAAATGGGATATGGGGGCTGGGGTTGTGGCTCAGCAGTAGAGCGCTTACCTAGCACTTGCGAGGCCCTGGGTTCTATCCTCAGCACCACATAAAAACAAATAAACAAAATAAAGGTAATGTGTACAACTAAAAAAAATTTTTTTAAATGGCATATGATCTTTTTTTATTTTACATACAATGGAAATCTTCAATGTGCTAACATGGAAAGATATCCCTGGCTTCATTCCTAAGAGTTACCAAAGTAAATTGCAAAAGGGTTTGTATAGCATTCTTCCTTTGTATTAAAAATAGACAGAAAGCAGAACTATAAATATACACTTCATAAATATCAAAGGCACTCATGGGGCTGGGGGTGTAGCTCACAGGTACAGCCTTTGCTGAGGATGCCTGAGGCCCTGGGTTTGATCCTCAACTCCACAAATTAAGTAAATAACTTTAAAATACATGCATGTGTATACACATGTATACACCTATAAGTATTTATTTATACATGCATAGACACAAGCACATACATATATACATATCATACCTATTTGCTCTTTTATGCATGCAATAACTCTAGGTTATGCAAGAAATGTAATCAACAGCAGCTTCCTGATGGGAGAACAGGGCAGAAGGTTCTTGTCACCACCTCTTTCTATGCCAAGTCAACCTATTATCCAGTTAACTATAATCATGAATGTGCAGAGCAGTGAAGCCAACCGACCAGGGTGGCCACACAGAGTACTCACCAGGGCGCGTAGGAGGCTGCTATGAAGAAATAGATGACCATCCGGTCAATCATATGCAGACAATGTTCCACCATCCTAGGGCAGGCAGAGAAGGTGTTGGTCACGACCCTGGGCTGGAGCGCTACCCAGGGAAACCCGCGGCTTCCCCACTAGGAGGGGCTGGGCTGGGGCAGACTCACCCCCATCCAGCCAGTGGACCCCAGGGGCCTCAGTCTCCCTACCTGTAAGTGACCAGAGCAGCAGTTTTCAAACCTGGCTCCTTGCTGTTGTAGGGGTGCACGAGTTGCCCCGGGGTTCCCTGAGGTGACTACTGACACACTCCCTGCATGCAACTCTGCATTTGGGGTTTATATACTGGGATCTTCAAAAGAGGCCATATATAGAGAGAATCCTGTACCTCAAAAACATGTACCACTGCAAAAAACAAACAAACAAAAACTGAGGACACTATGCACCCCTGGGTTCCAGCATCCTGCTCAGAAGACCTCTGTGACTGGCTGCCTGGCCTTGCCACCCAGGGACCTGGCAGGAGTCACCAACCCTTCTTAGCTCTGTAAAATAGGAAGGAGACTGTATTCCGACCACAGAGTCACTGGGAGCACTAAGTGAGTTACTATTTAGCACATCGCACAAGGAGAAGTGCTCAATTAATGCTAAATCCTGCCACGGCCTCCCCTTGAAGATTTGAGCTGTGGCCCTCATGCTAGGGCTGGTGACCAGCCTCCAAAATGGCACCATGAGCCCTGCCTCCTGGAATTCTCACCCTGTACAGTCCCACCCACAGGGGGAAAAAAAAAAAAAAAAAAAAACAGGGCAAACTCATGCAATCAACAGGCTCTTACAGAAATCACAGGGTGTGATTTCCAAGGCTGGATCATAGGATATATTACAGCATCTGCCTTGTTCTCTTGGGCCACTAACTTTGGGGGAAACTAGCCATCATGTGGTGTGGGGAGGTTCATCTGGGGAAGAAATATTTAGTTGGCACTAAACATCCAGCGCCAACTTGCTAGCCATGGAAGTGGGCCCTCCAGTCCTCCGTCGGGCCTTCAGATGACAGAGCACCAGCCAACAAGTGACTGACCCCCAAACCACAGTTGGGGAGCTCCCAATTCTCTGAGGCATTGACAGAGGAAGCACATTTCTTATTTTTAAACTACCACATTTTGGGGGCATTTTTGTTAATGCAGCAATCAAGAACTAATACAAACTGTGATTCTCTCCAGTAAACCGCAGCCCTGAACAAGCTTGAACAGGGACTCAGCAGGGGTTCAGCCACACCTGTTTCTAGACAAGAAGACAATGATAATGGCTGCCACATGGGGAGCCCATGCCACCATCAGCAAGCACGCTGTTCTAGGCCCCTAGTGGCGCTGACTGGTAATCTTACCTACAAGGCTGGTCCTTCATTTTTTTTTATGGGGGTGGTAGTTACCAGGGATTGAACTCAGGGGCACTCGACCACTGAGCCCCATCCCCAGCCCTATTTTGTGTTTTATTTAGAGACAGGATCTCACTGAGTTCCTTAGCGCCTCACTTTTGCTGAGTTTGGCTTTGAACTCACGATCCTCCTGCCTCAGCCTCCCGAGCTGCTGGGATTATAGGGGTACATCACTGAGCCCAGCGAGGTCCCTCATTTTTATCTTCCACATCACACGTGAGGACAGAACAATCATGCTGCTGGCTAGTGGGCCCTAAAACTAATGACTGGTATCTTCAGAGGAGGAAAGAGAGAGACACGAGGACAGAGACACACAGCAGGAAGCCAAGGCAGAGGAAGATGGAGGAGTGCTGTGGCCACACTCTGAGGAGCTCCTGGAGCCTCCAGAAGCTGGTGGGGACAAGAGGGAGCCTCCCCTGGGGCCTTGGGAGGAGGCCCTGCCCACACCTTGATCTCAGACTCTGGCCTCCAGGACTGTGAGGAAATAGATTTAAGATGCTTAAGCCACTGGGTCTATGGTCATTTGTCACAGCAGCAACAGGACACTCACCCTGTGGGGCTCAAGAAGGACCTGGGAAGGATGGGGACAGGAAGGGAGGGACAAGCTTCATCGGGAAACTGGCATCCTGAAGAAAGCTCTGCTTAGACAGAAGCAGCTATGTGACCTTGAGCAAGGCCCTGTCCTGAGCCATGATGTCACGCTCTGAGCGGGAGGCACATGTGGGGGGCTCCTGTGAGTGAGGGGTCTGTCCAGGTGAGATCAACCCAGCTGCCCAAGGCAAAGCTTGTCCCCCGCCCCCAGTCAGCCTAGGGGTCACCCCACCCTCAGTCACTCTGGGCCTGGTTAAGCAGGTCTCTGGCAAATTCAGTTCCCTGCCCCGTCTCTTGGGCTGGGGCCACCCCATCCTGCTGGTGTCCCCTCCCATGGGTTGGACAGAGGCTACCTGAGGTGGCTCTTCTTCCAGGAGACAGTGTGGAATATGGTGGACACCACGAAGAGGGCGCAGAGGCCAAGGCCATAGATGGAGGCGGAAATGGTCTCCCAGCTGTCGTCGGACAGGAAGTAGAGGTTGGAGCTTCCGAGGATGCTGGGGATGATCCAGAGCTGGGGACAGGGCGGGACAGCGCTGTGGGCCACTGGGACGCGCAGCCCAGGCCACCACACTTACCCCCCCACACTTCCTCTAGACCACACTGACCAATATGGCGCCAACATGGTGGCCTCGGGGCACGTGATGGGTGGCCAGTGGCCCTGCAGAACTGAGTCGGTTTCTTTAATTGCATGTGAATGGATTCACATTGACATTCCAGTGGCCACATGGGGCTAGCGGCCACCAAGGTGGACCACAGAGATCCAGATCATTCCTTAGACTCTCCAGGTGCGTAAGAACCGCCAGTCAGAGAACAGCAGCTCCGCAGCCCTGGCGCCACTCGGAGCCACCACCTGAGAGCCAGATGGGCCATGTGTCACACCATCACCTCCTTGGAGTTCCCTGAAGGCTGAGTTCAGGTGCTCAGGTGCCACGCAGCTTGCAAAGGGTTTAAATAGCGGATGCAGCTTGCAAAGGGTTTAAATAGCGGATGATGCATTACGATCCTCCGAATCGGGGTAGAGGACGGAACCGCAAAGCCCTTTGCCTTTACAAATGCATCATCTGCCCCCTGGGTCCTTGAACTTGACCTCCAAGCCCTTCCTCCTGCTCTGCCCAGATCACATGCTCTGACCTTACTGCCAGCCAGTCCAGGGTGACAGTTTTCCTGCCTCAGAGCCTTTGCACATGCTGTTCCCTCCCCTCCTTGGGTGGCTGGCTTCTTGTCAGGTGAGACAGGAGCGGGGACGAAGGGGTCAGAGTTATAGATGTTCAAAAATCATTTTTCTTAATCTTCTATGTCACCTTAAAAAGTGAACCGCCAGCATCTCGTGCTTCTGCATGAGGCTGTCATCCTCCTTGTGACCACCTCCAGGCCCTCGACTGCACCCAGTCACTCATTCCTTCCTTCCTGTGAGCGCTGATCTACCCTCAAGCAAAGAAGGACTCAAAGCTCACTGCGGGCATCCTGCCCTCCCCAGGGGCTCCCAGGGGCTGGCTAAGAGGGTGTACAGTAAGTGCTCAGTTAACAGAGGGCCAGGTGGTGTCTCAGTGGTAGAGCGCTTACCCAGCATGTGTGAGGCACTGGGTTCGACTCTCAGCACCGCATATCAATAAGTGAATAAAATAAAGCCCACCAACAGCTACAAATACATTTAAAATATTTTTTAAAAATAGAGGGCTGGGACGGGTGCTGCTCCATCTCCAGAGCCTGCTGGGCACAGCCATGACTGTCTGCAGCTTCAGGGTCCAGAGCAGAACAAAACGGAGGCTCCTCCTCAGCCTCAGGCCCCGCCCACCACCCCCGCTCAGCACCCCTTCCCCCCCATCCCCGCGTGGGCACTTGCATTTGCCAGGAGGATATATAGTGACTCCGGGGACCCTCAAGCCACCCTTGGGAATGACTCATGACACCCATTCTGCAGACGAGGAAACGGAGGCTCCAGTCGCTCAATGATGGAGCTGGGGTTCAGAGACAGGTCTCCCCTCGCTGGAGGTTTGCTCTTGGGACTTGGGGCAAGTCCTCTGGCCCCAGCCTCAGTTTCCTCCTCTGTAAAACCGAGAGCTCCTGTTCTGAGGGGGTTGACTAAGAGCAGCACGCGCAGGATGGGGCATCCGTGTGGCGCCGGGCACTCACCATCTCAGTGCCAGCCGGATGAACCCCTCAGTTCTGGGGCTAAGAGGTGGGAGCGGGGCCCAAGAGGGGTGGAGCCAAGAGAATTGGGCGGGGCCAAGGTGAGTGGGCGGGAACAAGAGGGGCGGGACTAAGATGAGTGGGAGTGGGCGGGGACACGTGGGGGGCGGGGCCGTGTGGGTGGGACCAAGGAGTGGGCGGACCTAAATGAGTGGGCGGAGCCAAGAGGCGGGGGCAGGGCTGAGAAGCAATGCAATTCAGCTCCCGGGTTCACTGGCAGCTACCTAAAACGCCAAGGAGCCACCTCAAGGACTCAAACTACACTCAGGTCAGGACAAGGGCAGTCTGGCACCTCCAGGGAACCAGGAACAGCTTGCAGAATGGCCGAGCAAAGGGCACTGCAGGGCAGCAGGGCCTACCACTCAGGGCTCCCCAGCAGCGGGGCAGCCGGGAGGGACTTCGGGGGAGCATTTCGACAAGGCCACAGAGGACGAGAAGGGCTCCAGGGCGGAGTGGCAGGTGTTCCCGGCAGTGGGAACGGCATGTGCAAAGTCACCTGTCTCCCCGGCCCCACCCAGAAGGGTCCCCCTCGCAGCCCTCGGCCCCCGAGGGCAGACTCACAGCGTGGGTGGCACAGTTGGCGGCATGTTCGTACTCCGTGGGCTGGTACCGCTTGTGGGCGGGGACCCGGTGGTTCATGAACCTGGAACAGAGGCAGGATTCCAGGGAGCTCAGCTGCGGAAGCCAGGGGCCCTGAGGACCTCACCCCTAGGGGAGGGGAAAGGCGCCTCTCCTCCCTCGGCCCTCCTCCCTCCAGTTCAGATGGGGCTGCGTCCCAATAAAACCCCTCGGAAGTCAAACGTGCAGTTATAGCCCGACTCGCCCACCATGAGGGAAACCCCAAGCTGAACCAGCGTCAGGGGCTGTCAGCTGCAGGATGCCATATTCTATTGGCCTCTCTCCCTCCCTTCCTCCCTCCCTCCCTCCCTCCCTTCCTTCCTTCCTTCCTTCCTTCCTTCCTCCCTCCCTCCCTCCCTCCCCTGGGGATTGAACCCAGGGGGGTGTTAGCCACAGCTCTGGGCTTGCTCCCAAGCCGCTGGGATTACAGGTGTGCACCACTGCATCTGGCTTCTAATTTTTTAAAGTATAACTTACACACAGTTTGGCTCCCCAGGGGTAGAGCTCCATGAATCTTTACATACACACACCCACATAACACCACCGGGGACATAGCCAAATCCCCTTCTGCCCCTCCCCAGTGTGCACCTTTCCTCAAAGAAATCACCTTTTGACATTTGACTGATTATAGATCAGTTTTTCCTGCTCTTGAACTTGCTATTAATGGATATATATTGCACACACTCTTTTATTTCTGGCTTATTTTGTTCCAATGATTTTTGTGATATCCATCCATGTTATTAGATACAGCAATTGGTTGTTTTCGTGGCTGCATAGTATTCCACTGGTTAAATATACCATACATGATTTATTCAAACTGTTGCAGGTGGACTTTGAGTTTAGGACAACAAGGGATAATTGTGTTCATGAACACTTTTGTGCACATCTTTGGGTGAATGTGTATTTGTTTTTGCTGAGTTAGGATCTACCTGCAGAATTGCTAGGTGACTTCATTTTAAAAATAAACATTCATGATGTTTTGGTGATTGGAAACTTTAAAGTGTCACCACCTCTGGTCCTCACGGGAGCACCACGTGGAATTATTATTGGATTTATGGGTGGGGGGACTGCCGTGCAAAGAGGTGAGAAAGCGAGGTCAGCAGGTGACTTGGGACTCTCTCTGTCCTAGCTGACTTCCAAACCTGGCTTCACCATGACATGGCTGTGTGGGGGCACTGGGTCAAGCCTGGAATGTCACACAAGTGAGAGCTGGTGGTACCTGGCTCTCAGGACAGGGGACAGGAGCAGCGTGTGAGCAGCATTCAGTTCCTGGAGCGCATGGGCTCAGATCAGGTAAGTAACCAGTTCACCTTGAACTTCACCAGAGGGATCAGCCACCACTCAATGCACCAAAACACTCTCCCCCAAGATCTCCATTATGACTATGTAGACCCCCCCCCCCACACACACACACACAAAAGACAGAAATGAGTGTATGGTTCAGAGCCCAGAGCTCCAAGCAACTTGGTTCAATGAGCATTTATTGAACACCTTCTGTATGCTGATATCATGTGGTCCAGTTTATGGGGCATTTATTTAGCACTTTCCAATAAATGGAATGGTGAAGTAAAAATCCCTGGAGCATTTATTGAGTGCCTTCTGTGTGCCAGCTTTATGTTAACATAGTTCATGGGACATTCATAGAGCCCCTTCTGTATGCAGGCTGTGCATATACTAGTGTGGCCGGGGCAGGAGCAAAGGCTGGAAGAGGCTCTGCCAGGCACTGACCCTGACCTCCCCTGGGGTCCCCAGGGTCTGGTTTCCCTATACTGGTCCCCTGGCACCTGGATCAGGTCAGGGGTCCAAGTCAGCTCCCCCACCCTCCTGTTCTGATCACTGACCCTGCCTGCGTCAGGCCCTGGCTCCACAGTCATGTGACTCCGTGGTCAGTGTCAGGCCGAGCCCATCAGACACAAGAAAGCTAAGACCCCAGTCACTGGTCCCAAGGCTTCTGGGCTGAGGCTGCCCAACCCCACTGCTCCACATCCCTGCTCTGAGCACTTTGGCAGGAGGAGACTGAAAACGAGGCCTAGGATCTCAGAGGGAACGGCAGGAACCCTGCAGAGGGGAGCCCCCAAAACAGAGCCTCCCTGCAGATCCAGAACAGCAGGCCCAGCAGCCACCTTCTGTCCAGGTGGCCCAGGACGTCAGCAGCAGCCAATACCAGCTTCTCCACAAAAACCATGCTGTGGTGTGAACCCAGGGAGAGGCAGCCACAAGGTCCCATAGGCAGAGACAGGAGTGAGCCTTCTGCAAACCCAGGAGCATCCTGGGTGCCAGCCGCCACCAGAGCCACAGAGGGACCGTCAGACCCCCAGCCTGCTCATGCCATGATCCTGGATTTCTGTCCCTGGAACCAAGTGCATGCTCCTCTGTCACTGCAGCCGGAAGACACTGTCCCAGGAACATACTGTAGGCATGGCGATGGGCTCTGCCCAAAAGCCCCCAAGGAGATGGTGCCAATTGCCAATCTATACCGCCGCCACCGGGCCAGGGACCGCAGCAGCCAATTGCGAAGGGACCACAGGTGGGCGCTGCGTCTGCACCTGCTCCAGGTGTGGCCTGGCCACCTCTATTCCCCTGCACTCAAACAAACACCCTGAGCCACCCACAGCACCAGCCACGAGGGTTCAAGGGTGATGTCATGGTTGCCGTGGTGACCTGGGACAAGCCGTTATTTATTTATTTCTGGGCTCCACAAAACTCCCCTTGTCTGTTACTTACGCTGCAGCTATTGAAGGCCAGCGAGGGAGGGGATGAGAGGCCAGGAGACGGGGGCCAGGCCGGGCAAGCGCCCAAAAAACAGTTCCCACCACCCCAAAGACCCGGGGACGTTGCCTTTAACCCCTCGGGGACCAGTTTCTTCATAAGTCCCACTTTAAGAAGATAGAGATTTTATTTTTTTTAAGTTTACATGATAGTTTGCATGCATAAGATTTTCTTTTTCTGCTATAGTTTTATGAGTTTGGATCACAGAAACATCACCACTGTTGAGATAAATAACAGCCCCTTCAGATCCCCACGTCCCCAGATCCTTGGTCCCCAACACCTCTCCAGCCTCAGCCCCAGCGATGGCTATTCCATCTCTTTCTAATTTTTGCCTTTTCCAGAATGTCACATAAACAGAGTCATCCCACAGCTATAGAGCCTTTAAAAATGTTTAAAGGGATCTTATGATATCAAGTCCAAGTGCATTTTCCATTTTTATTTATTAATTTATTTTGGTACCAGGGATTAAACCCAGGGGTGCTTAACCACTGAGCCACATCCCCAGCCCTTTTTTATATTTTATTTAGAGACAGGGTTTCGCTAATTTGTTTAGGGCCTCATTAAGTTGCTGAGGCTGGCTTTGAACTCACAATCCTCCTGCTTCAGCCTCCTGAGCCACTGGGATTATAGGAAAGCATCGCTGTACATTTTTAAGTGAAAAGGAACTGTGTTCTGGATGCCAAACAGGACTTGCTTATTTTCTAGTAACATGAATTTAAGACAGACTTATTTACACTAAAGGCAAACGGAGTCTCCTGAAGAGAATCTCACTTTTCTGAGCAATTTGTCCATATCTTCCATTCTGTTTCCACATACAGGCCTCTGAGCCTGGCTTCTCTCATTTAGCATTTGGGAATCATCCTCAATGTTGTATGCGCCTTCATTTTATCTACTTTTATCTTATTTAATTATTTTATTTTATGGGTGCCAGGGATTGAGTCCCTGGCCATGTTATGTACACATTTCACCTCTGGGCTACACCCGCAACCCTCCTTCCTTTGCAGGACTGAGCAGTATTCCGTGGTATGGATGTACCAGAATTTATTCATCCCCAGAGGGACAAGGGGACTCATTTTTTTTTTTTTTTGTACCAGGAATTGAACTCAGGGGCACTCCACCACTGAGCCCCATCCCCAGCCCTATTTTGCATTTTATTTAGAGACAGGGTCTCACTGAGTTGCTTAGTGCTTTACTTTTGTTGAGGCTGGCTTTGAACTCGAGATCCTCCTGCCTCAGCCTCCCAAGCGACTGGGATCACAGGTGTGCGCCACCTTCAACAGCTTCATGTTTTAACAGATGAAATCATAATTGAGATGTTTCAGAACAGAGTTGGCCAAGAGGCAACCTCAAGACCTCCAGAAAGTTTCTCTTGAAAGAGGCCAATACTTCTAGCAGCATGTTGCTGGTTAAACTAAAGAAGGACACTGGGTTTTTTCTCCCTCCTCTCTGGAGAACAGAATCTCCATTCTGTGGCCAACCTTTGTAGCTTTGATGATCATGTGGCCACAACCACTTGGAGGGCTCCCAAACTGAGCCAGGATCCAGACCCGAAGCTGGCAGGAGTTGAGCACACTATGCTCAATCCTGAACTGGAGGGGCCAGGGCTTTGGAGCGAGGCACAGCGAGGAGGAATCCCTCTGCATGGTCACTTAGCTGCTGTGCCAGCTAGTGGAAATGACTTAACATCTCTGGGCTGCTGATTCCTGGTGACTGAAAGGGGATAATACTCCCTAGCCTGCAGGACCCACAGGAGAATATGGCTCAAGACTCACATGGGACCAGACATGGCAGGTGCCCAAACAAATTCTCCTTTTACCTCCCCCCCAGAGAGTTCCCCCAAGAGCCCAGCACCTTTTTCTTACCGAAGCCTAACGCACCCAGGTACTTCACATTGGTTGGCAGGGGGTCCCACTTAATCCACAGCACTGGTATAAAGCACACAGTACCAATATGAAGGGAGGTTGGGAAAGGTTAGGTACTCAATCTTGGTTGCCCTGTAAGAATCACCTGGATGCCAGGTACAGTCCCAGCTACTCAGGAGGCCGAGGCAGGAGGATCGCTCTAGCCCAGGAGTTCAGGACCAGCCTGGACAACATAGCGAGACCAGTTTATATGTATCACCTGGGAAATGGCTGGGTGGAGAAACAAAATGTGATCTTCTCATACAGTGGAATATTACTGAGTCATAGAGAAGGGTGAGGCACTGAGAGATGCTACAGCTCCGATGAACCTCAAAAACAAGACACTAAGTGAAAGAAGCCAGACACAACAGATCACTTATTGTATAATTTCATTTATATGAAATACCCAGAATCAGCAGGCATGCACCGCTGCACCTGGCCAAGAATCTTTGTGTTTCAGAACAGAGTTGGCCAAGAGGCAACCTCAAGACTGTGATCCCAGTAGCTCAGGAGGCTGAGGCAGGAGGATCCCAAGTTTGAGGCCAGCCTCAGCAACTTAGCAAGGCCCTGAGCAACTTAGTGAGACCCTGTCTCAAAATAAAAATATAAAAAGGGCTGGGGATGTGGCTCAATGGTAAAGCACCTCTGGGTTCAATCTCAGTATCCTGTCCCCCCAAAAGAATTCTCTTAAGGGCCCTGGGGGAAGTTGATGGGAGACGGCTTGTTAGATCACAGTATTGACTCTGATGTGGAAGATTCTGGGAGCAGTGTGTTGAGCTTCTGTAGGAGAACGTATGCTGATGGGTTTAGGGAGGAAATGTCAAAGCATCTGCAGAGAAGAGCCACAAACAGGGCAAGACGTTGTGAAATGTCAGCAGCTGGTGAATCTAAGTCTGTGGCGCGTGGATATTCATTGAATTTTTCTTCCCGTTCTCCCTTAAGCAGAGGAAATTCGAGGCTACACGAGACACCCCCAGCAGGTTGGGCAAGCGGACCAGAGCGAATGTGGCCACCCAACTCCGTCACTAGGCCAGATCTTAAGAATCCCAATGCCCAGGTCCCAGCCCAATCGGAACAGAGGGGTGAGGCTGGTATGTTTCACAACTTCCAGGTGATTTCAATGCACAGCCAAGGTCAAGAACCCCGGGACTGGAGGGAGCGCCCTGCAGAGGGGGACCACATGGCAAGGGACTCATGAGTCCCAAGGCCACCATGCCAGCGCCCGGCCCAGCAGAGGTGGAAAGCAGGCTCCTGCCCACAAGCCAGCTCTCCTGGGTGTCACCAGAGGTCCTGAGTCTAGCAGCTGGAATGAAAACTGTGGGAGTTAGCAACGTCCACACTGACCCGAGGCAGGCTGGGCGCAGCCGCCCTGGCTCAGCCCAATCAGGCTGACACCATCCTCACTTTATCTGGGGACTCAGAGAAGGTATCTTGAGACTCCAGGTTCACCTTCTCTAATGCATCCACTGGTCCTTTCCACGCCATCTGTGCTGCTGATGGGAGAGTCCGCATCAGTCCTTCACACTATAGTATAATACAGCTGTCCATAGCTCCTAGAAGGAAGATGGTTGGGGCCCTGAGGCCAAGGAAGGGAAGAGGCAGAGCCTTTTTCCGGCTTCTACATCACAGCTGTGAATGATCTAGAACATGCCAGACACTGAACCTGGTAGGCCATGCCATTGTTTGGATGTGAGGTGTCCCCAAAGCTCCTGTGTTCATGCAGAATATTCAGAGGTGAGATGATCACATTATGAGAGCTGTAACCTAATTGTTCCATCCTACTTTGAATGGACTGGCTGGGTGATAGGTGGGGCGTGGCTGGAGGAGGTGGGTCACTGGGGGTGTGTCCAGGAAGGGTCCATCTTTCCTGTGACCCCCACCCCATCCCTCTGCTTCCCAGCTGGCCACCATGAGGTGAGAGGCTTCCCCCCATCACACCCTTCTGCCACGATGTTCTGCCTCACCTCTGCACAGAGCAATGGCCTCAACCACAGACTAAATCTCTGAAACCACGAGCCAAAATAAACTTTTCCTCCCCTAAGCTGTCCTTGCCTAGTATCTTGTATCACAGTGACACAAAGCTGACTAACACAGTTCCTCCACCTTAGAAAGTCTGCATCAAATGCAGTGTGAGCTCAGGAGGCTGAGGCAGGAGGATCGCGAGTTCAAAGCCAAACTCAGCAAAAAGTGAGGCCCTAAGCAACTCAGTGAGACCCTGTCTCTAAATAAAATACAAAATAGGGCTGGGATGTGGCTCAGTGGTCAGTGCCCCTGAGCTCAATCCCTGGTACCCCGTCCTCCCAAAAAAGCAGAAATGCCAGATGGGTTTAAAGGCCCTGTGTTCTGCAGAGAATTGCTTCTTTTCTTTCCCATCCTTGACTTGACCCTGCGATTACCCTCACCCTAGGAAAGCTGTCCTGTGGCCCGCAACTGTCATGCCTCTGGGCCTTCGACACATCATTTCCTAGGCTTGAAAGTCCCTTTCACTCCTTTCTGGTTGGAGAACTCCTATTTA